TATTGTTATTGATTACTCCTCTCTGGCCTTCAGTAGTGAACATTTTAATTTGAATTATTGTTTGGAGGTTTATGGGAAATTCATTACTTTGTTCCTGATCTGTTTAATTAATTTGCTATTCAGGCAAACCGCTCAGCAAAGCTGAAGCAGAGCAAGCTCGATGTCCGCCGTGAGCAATGGCTTTCTCAAGGTTTGTGAAAGATCTTACTTTCTTGACTCACAGATAAATACATACATACACCAGTACTTGGTTACAACGTTAGTCTTATAGCCTATATCCTTCAAAGCTTTCAACTTTCATTCGCTTTCTTTTGATCTACTGGATGCATGATCAATTTGAGCAAAAAATGGATCTCGGGCCTCTCGGCTCATATTCTACATTATTTACTTGCTGATTAAGGAGTGTTGTGTATTTCTACACTCTCAGTGAATAAAAAGGGTGGGTGCAAGGTGGGAACGGCCAATGGCTGTGCTCCTCACGAAGGGCCACCAGTCCATTTGCGGAGCACGAAGGGCGGACCTGTAGAGAAACTCGATATAGAAACGTGTAACGAGGAAATCTACGAACCATCAATTCATCACTACAGTGACTCTGAATCCCTGCCTTCCAACAGCCCCACTAGCCACACAAGTAGTGTACTGTGCAGGAATGAATCTGGGGTCAATTTCACCGCCAGTAGCAGAAGCAGCAGCAGCAGCAGCGGCCGGAGCAGTAGCAGCAGTGGCCGGAGCTACAGTGACGATGAAGATGGCCGGGATGCTGGTGGTGTAGATGATGATGGTGATGATGATTGCCTGGATGATTGGGAAGCCGTGGCTGATGCATTGGAGGCGAAAGATGAAAAACATCAAGGTTTACCCTCACCAAAGCATGAAACTGCTATGGGGGTCGATAATTTAAGCGGAAACTCAGAGAGTGGAGGGGAAAAGGGTATTTTGGTCAATTGCTGTGCGTGGCGGCCAGACGATACTTGCCGCCCTCAGAACTTGCCTAATCTTTCAAAGCAGTATAGCTTACCCCTGAATTCAGAGCGGCACTTTGGACGGGGTTCGGTTTGGGGATGCAAGAATGTTGGGCCGGATCCCACTTCATGCCCAATATGCTTTGAGGATTTCGACTGTACAGATTCGAGTTTTCTCCCATGTACCTGTGGGTTTAGGCTATGTTTGTTCTGTCACAAGAGGATTCTTGAGGAGGATGGCCGTTGCCCCGGGTGCAGGAAGAAGTACGAGTGTAAACCTGCCCAGGGAGAAGCAACACTGGATGGAGGCAGCTTGATTTTTCGGTTGGCTCGTTCTTGTAGCATGATCACGCGGTCTTAAAACGTGTCTCCTTGAAATTGTATGTTGGGTCTTTTCCGTTTTCTCTTTCTCTTTGTCGTGTGTTTTGCATATGTCCTTACTGTTGGTCTATTATGCGAAAACCCTAGATATCGATATAGAATGATTCTGAAGCAAGGTTCTTTTGGTCTCTATGTGTATCGTTCTTTGGGTGGCGATAGAAGGCCTTTCATGTGAATAGATAAGGTGGTGATGGAGAAATTGAATACACAACCGCTTGACTATGTTGTTTGCTCTTTGCTGAGATAAATAAAACTTTTTTTTTTCATATGATTTAAGTTTGTGAGCATACTGTATTTGTGGCGAACAAATATATACAACCTAGGATCTTATAGTAATCGAATTTCTTGCATGTGCGTCTACTTCTTCTTTCTATCTGTCAGTGTTAATTTTTTAATCTTACAATTGATTGCTTCCTATACTTGATTGACTTTGAAGACTTCACTATCCAGTGTGGTTTACTTGGTAAATGTAGTATCTTATATTATTTTGTTAATCAGTGGCTAGAATCAAAATGTTCTTTAGCTTAGCACCATGATTGTGTTATGTTCTGTTCTGCACGATGAACTCCTCTGCATTTGCAGTGATAGTTGTAAAGACTTCTTATAGTAGTGCCTGCAAAAAAGTTAATATAATGCTATTGATCCTATGGGGGAAGACGTAGGTGTCTATATCTTGCTACCAATAAAGTACAGGATTGTATCAGATTCGTATATAGGTTTTGATGCTGTATTATGGCAATATTTACTTTGTAGATGAACTTATGATTTCAGTCTTGTTTATTAGCAGTTGAAGATTAGAGCTAAGGCAGCTTTTGATGCCTGGTATTAAAACCTCTCGACATTGAAATGTGGTAAGGAACCAAGGAAGTTTCTTTTACTAGCACCTCTAATTACACTGCTGGTCTAGTTTTATCGACAATCTCGCCTGGATCCAGTAGCCTCTAGGACCGGACTGGACCGGGACTTGTCAGGCCATCACAAAACTCAGGATCCCTCCAAGTGGCCCACGCATTGATGTGGGCCGTGGTCTTTGGCTCAACAGTGCATTTTGCCATTTGGATGAGTGGGGCCGGTGGTAGGCAGAATATGAATCAAACAAAAGGTCCAACATTGATGTGATCCATACATAAGGCCTACTTTCATAATCCAAATGCTCCTCAATCATCTCCTCGTAAGACTATCGGCAAGTTCGACCTACTGTGGTAGTTAATGCTTCCCATGGGAATTTAACCATGGTAAAACCACTCGTTTGGATGTATTGATCTTCCAATGGGAATTTAACCATGGTAAAACCACTCGTTTGGGTGTAGTGATCCGATAGTTAAAATCTCGTAGGGATAGTGCCCACTGGATAGGGTGAAATTCACCGTATCAATCTCTACAAGAAATCTCTTCGACCCCTATTGGTGAAAAATCAAACTTCGTAAATTTCAGTTTACATCTTTCGGTAAATAGCTCTTGTTTTTGTTATTTTTCAAGCGAAGTACGAGTTGATTAAATACGCGACAACTATTAAAAATTATACTCAGTTGATTAGATTGATTAAGGGCCTGATTGGACATAAATTGTACGTGACAAGTTAATATTTTAAATACAAAATTCAACTCAAATTTAAGTCAATCAACTGTCCTCTATGTTATAAATATAATTAAATAACATCAATAAATCATTTTCACTCATAACATTAATTTTAATTCGTTATTTATCTACTCACATAATTTTAACTACACATCACTTTCAATCACATTTATCATACTTTTACAATACATCAAATTTAATTATTTTATTTTAAATACTAATTAAATACAAACTCAAAATCTCACTCAAGTCAAATTACATAATTTTTTTTTTAAAAAAATAAAAAATTAACTCATTTTATTAGAAAATCATATTCAAAATAAAGTATAACCATTTAGGCCCTAAATGCTATAAAATGTATAAAATGTGATCTGATTAAAAAGTAATTAATAAGCATAATCTCTCGAGTATTTAAAATAAAATTATTGGATATGGAGAACGTATTTCTTGGCCTGCATATTCCAAAGTGTTCGCGCGAGCAATGCTTGGTTCCAAGCCTTGAGGTCTCGGAACTATCGCTCTGGAGAATCAAAAGTCAGATACGAATGAATCATAAGGCACATTGGCCTGCTCTTCCCCAATCACTGCAAGGGTCAATTTTGGGAGAGACCATTGCGCGGGCAATGTTATACTACCTCCTATTTTAAATAAATGTCGTTTTGACTTTTTTGATTCATCCATTTTGCTATGTATCTAAAAAGTCAAAACGACATTTATTTAAAATAGAAGGGAGTATTACTTGTCACCAAAGGCTGGTTGGAAATAGTTTTGATTAAATACTCAAATAAAGAATCAAATGGATAAGATTGATCAACATTTTTCAACTAGACTAAGACAAATAATTAAACCAAAAAATACCAAATAGCTATAAGACAAAGGTATTTATAACATTAAAAAAACCATATTATTTGAAGTGGTGGACACGCGTCGATCGCGCATTGGTGAAGGTATGGGTCCTACATTACCAACTAGCTCCCACTATAGGGCCAATCAGCTTTCGTCCTCACTCCAACTCCAAAAGAACCTTATCTCTGGCTCAAGTGGTAAGCAACTTGATGTCGCTTAAATAAGATCTCGAACCCGAGTCCTTATGGATGCAGAAAATCTTTATTGGGAGACTCACCCACCACTGTCAGGTGTGCGACTCGGATCGAGCATAGCTCCGGATACCTGGTGGCTACCAAAAAAAAAAAAACTATAATAATAATATTAAAATGCCTTTCTCTGAAGCAATAATGAAACCATTAAAGTAAAAAAAAAAAAAAATCAGATCTTTACACAGCCCACTGTTTTTCTTTTTCCTCCTCTGCTTCATAGTCTCTACTGCTGAAATTGGACCATCATACAAAGGGTTAGAGAGAGAGAGAGAGAGAAAGAGAGAAGCTTGAAGATGGCTGCCAGCCGTTGGATCAGGCCCGAGGTTCTTTCCATCTTTCTTTCTTTGTCAGCTATTTGAATTGTTTGTTTCTTTTCTTTTTATTTTCTGGGACTTTGTCTGAAATGGAAATGTGTGTGTATATGTGCATGTATAGGTTTATCCTCTGTTTGCAGCTATGGGAGTTGCTGTGGGTATTTGTAGTTTTCAACTGGTTCGCAATATCTGTATCAACCCTGAAGTCAGGTACTCTCTCTCTCTCTCTCTCTCTCTCTCTCTCTCTCTCTCTCTCTCTCTCTCTCTCTCTCCTCTGATGATAAAGTAGTCATACCTGAGATAGAGCTTGGATACATAGTTTCATGGTGGATTTTTGCTGACTTTGCTTTTCCTTTTTACATTAGTTTTACTGGCTGCTAGAATTTGAAGAACCCCCACTAAATTTAGTGTTAAATTGAAGATAAGGGACTAATGAAGGGACAACAGAAAACTAATTCTTGATTCCTTATTAGGCTTGCATCTTGGAAAATTGAGCAATGTTCTGAAAATTTAGAAGAAGAAGAAAAAAAAAAAAAAAAAAATTGTTCTTTGGCCATATTTTTCCTGCAAGGTTGACCTGACCCTTCGAGTAAGAGTTCAATCCTTTCGTCTCGGTATATCTCTTTTAGAGCGTGTTAGCAATCTCACCAACATTCGGATATATGGTTCTTTAAGCTTGATTGGAAAAACTTTTGTTACGTTTGCCGAACTTCATTAATGAAGTTTTTGAGATAGGATTAGTTCTGCTAGAAGCATCGCCTCGACTAATGCATTGAATGATGATTTATTTCTGAAAGTTGAACTAGTAAAGCCAAAAACTGGCTTGTGTGTTTCGAACAAATGTGGGACTTAACAGTTTCGGTACAAAGCTTATCCTGAATGAGAGTGATTCTTAGATTGTTAGCTGTAGAAAAAACCACATTTTTATTGTTTGATTTAACTGGGTTTACTTTTACTCATACAAGAAAAATAAGAAAACACTCTTCCAACTCATCTGCCAATAGGCCTAATCAATTTTTAGCTTACATTTGCAAACACGCTAAGCGTACAAAAGAATCAGATTCTGTTCAAATTTATCTATATCCTCCTTAAGTGTACTGAGATACTGCAGCCTTTATAACTAATCCCAAGAAGGAATGCTAAAGTCGATGATAATAAAGGAATAAAATGCCTTTTTTTTTCCTTTAATTTGGACTAATGATCACCTGTTAATGTAATATATAGAGTTAATAAGCAAGGCAGGGCAGCTGGAGTACTGGAGAATTTCGAAGAGGGACAAAAGTATTCTGAACATGCTCTCAGAAAATTTGTTCGTAACAAGCGACCTGAGATCATGCCATCCATCAACAGCTTCTTTACAGACCCACAAAAGAATTAAAAAAGGGGTCTTGAAAATTTCTAAAGAATTGAGTTAGAACGACATGTTTAACAAGAATGTCTTATGAATCCGTAAACAATAAAGATGGTGACTGTTTCATGTTGTATTATCAAGACTTGGGTGTTTGTATTTGATCAAGAATGGTGAACGAGGACTATATTCATGTTTGTATTGATAAGTTATGTTGGTCATGTATTGAAATGTTGCGTGTTGCATGGTTTATTATCGTTGGCAGTTGAATCGAGGGTCAGTCCTTGGTTGGGAATTGGGATTATTTTAGAATTGTGTTTAGTAAGCACTTTAAGCTTGCTGTATTCAAATAAACTTAGTTTGGTAGGACGATTTTTATTTTTATTTTTATTAAAAAGCTCGAACTTCTTTCGGCTAAGTTTGGTAAAACTAGTTGATCAAATGATGAAGTTAAGTTAGTTGATATAAGTGAATGTTGAGCTTATAGCTTATGGCTAAAAAGTTAGTTAATATGATAAAAGTGTTTGGTAAAATTAACTGACAGTTGAAATTTTAACGGCTTTTTTTTTTAAATGGAACAAGTACTCTAACCCTTTAAAGTCACCAGATCAAAAAATAAGAAGAAATAAAAAGGAAGCACAAAAATACTAACTGGTTCTCTCAAAATCTTTTTATTCAAAAGTGAAATAAGTCATTTACACGAGTCGTCGCCGAATACCAAATATCTATAAAAGAAACTGAAAATGGAACGATGCATCAGAAACTTATTGTTGTGTACATGTGTGTCTTAATCCAAACCTATAGAGTACACATTGTTTAGAGTATAATTTCTTCTTGAACACTAACATTTAGAGTCTTGTTTGGAAGGACAATGCTGTTTATCACTACAACTTCATCCTCAACTGTCACTGATTCACCTGATCCAAACAAACATATTTATAATAATAAGCTAATAATAACAAAATCGATGAATGTTTTGACAAGAGGGAGAAAAAAAAAATTTAAATTAATATGGAGAAACCAGAACATATGTACCAAGAATCGTAACCCCAAGCTTCGCGTTGTGCTCTCCTGAGGCCTGAAATATCATTAATAAACGCTAAGACCATGCAAAAACGAGACATTACTTTTTACACAAAAGTAGCCAATAAGTAGGATTCTGGATTCGCGATTACATAATTCATGTGTAGTGTCCTAATATGAATCCACACTGCAAAGATATAGCCACATTCCATTTAATAGCATGAAGGAAATTAATGATTATTTCTGCAAAGCAATTTATGCACTCATTTTCGGGTACATGAATCATGGGAAATTATCATCCCCGTCTTCAAGTTTCTAGCAGAACAACACTACATAAAAATTGGCAAAAATGCATTTTTTAGTCATGTTGGTTTAACGTAATAACAATTTTAGTCCTAGGATTCCAACTTTTTGAAGTCTCAAATGACTAAAATTGCAACAAAATATTAAATCACTGGACAAATGAGCAAAATGTTTGAAACTTGGGACTAAAATTGCTATGGCGTTAAACCAATAACACAAAAAATGCAACTTTGCCAAAAAAATCTACATACCACGCGTAACTATTTCCTCTCTGGGAAGGTTCAACTATATATAAGAAATGGTGTATTAGGACAAAATTTGTCCGAACTGACCTGGACTCTTGACCACCTTCCAATGGCAGATTTCCATCCAACAATCGAATGAATCACTACTGCATTTTCCTTTCAAAAATTAAAAAAAAAAAAAATAATATCAAGTTTGAGCGAAAATGATCATATATATATAGGCATTGGTCGAGCATTTTTATGAGGCGATTATTGGTTGTTATTACCTTGATTTCAACATCATCAAGAATAATGCCGTTCACAAGCCTCACGCCAGCTCCTATCCGAGCATTAGCAGATATCGAAACATTGGGACCAATCTGCCTCACATTAAAGACCGCAAAAAATCAGCTTTAAGCAATAATATTTCCAAATTAATACAATTTTTTAGTAAAACAACAATCCTCTAAAAATTTAATGCTATCATTATATATAATACCTTTGCAGTTGGATGCACTTTAGCCGATGGATGAATATAAACATCACCAGTAATTGTAGCTTTTTTCGTACCATCTCCACTTGCTAAGAGCTCGGGTGAAGTTACTCTAAATTGGGCAAGGTATAATCCAGAACATTTCAAGGACATTCTACACAAAACGAAAAAAAAAAAAAAAAATCCAGTTAGATAAAATGAGGTAAAGAAAGGGAAATGAATTGAGATATATCTATGTTATTAGTGTACCCAGGAGTTTTGATTTGTTCCCAAAAATCCAAAGTTTGATACACATATAACTGCTTTTTTCCGGCAAGTGGTGATAGAATATCTTGATCCAGTCTAACAAAATCTGTCGGGAGACTCCTGTGAATGGATTTTTGCATCAGAAAATGAAAATGGGCCAAAGCATCATATGTTAATCTGAGAAATTTAAAATCTATTAGGACTGACAAAATTTGAGAAAATGCAAAAACGACAACAAGTTGGATAAGTATGCCTATGACTTTTTTATTTTTCGTCTTCTTTTATTTAAATTCATCCTTTCCAAATGTGCTGCGAAAAAAATTGACAATAATATTGTGTAAAACCTGTCTGCTGGTTGAAGAGCCTCAAAGCTAGATACACGTCTTAGAGCAGCTGCAAATTAAATAAAAATAAAGGTATAAATACAATATGTTCTGGAAAAAAGGTAAGTGCAGTGTTAGCATGCACTAAATTATCTTATAAGTAGACATTTTAGTAGAGTTAGCTCAAAACAATTGTCAAACAGTAACCATAAACAGGAATACAGGATATGTATGAAATATAAGGTAAAATTATAATCATTCGGAGGTAGAAACAACTTTCATCAAGTACTCCTACAAATAACGGAAAAAAAAAAAAAAAACTCACGAAAGTTTACAAGTAATAAAAGTAGGAACTCGATTTCCAAATGATAGAATTCACACAACACGAACTACTACGATTCTATTGTTTTAGCAAAGTACTTGTAAGAACAACATGAAACTTCTCACGTCAAAATTCATTTTAACTGAACTGGTACAAAGGAAGCCTGTCAAAATATACTCTCTTTCCCAAATAAATGGAACTATGGAAGTTTAACTGACTACTGAAGGAAAAAAAAAAAATGTCTGGAGGTCTAAACTAATAGATTTAATCAAACATAGAATATTACCAACCTCTGTCCTTTCTCTGAGTGGACACACCTTGAATGGCTGTAAATATGTCAGGGGTAAATACGTACACACCACAATTGATAAGGTCACTAACCTGTTTTATTATAACAGAGTTGGAAAAACTGTGTTATACCAAGTGAACAATAAGTCGAACATGGAAAACCAGACATTAGTTCGTTTTCACGTACAAAAGTTTCGGGTTTCTCTGTGTAGTGCAAGAGTTCGTTTGTAACAGGATCAGCAACAAGCTCCCCAAACTCATTTGCTGATTCAGGAGAAACCTGAAGTGAGAAAAGGAAAAAAAACAACAATATTAAGTAGTTCAGAAAAAAAAGGCACATATTTGCTAAAAGTATCATCTCAGGCAGATGGCACAAAAAGATAACAACCTTGCTAACCAAAATTGTTCCAATTCCACCATAGGTTCTGTGGGCCTCTGCAAGTAAAAAATCATCCCAAAAAAGAACAAAAAAAAAAAAGAAATATTATGTCTTTTGAATGTACCCAATAATACTAAAAGGTGTAACTCAATTATAAATACGGAATTACCTAACATCTGAGGCAGTGGAAAACTGCAACAAACATCACAATTCAGCAGAAAAATGTGTGACTGCAAAGGTAACACATAACCGTGTTAATAAAAATAGTGTGAAAATAATATTTCATAATAAACAAAAAAAAAAAAGTGTCTTTGATTTCTAATGTATTCGCAAGTACGAGGTTTGATAAATAGAAAAATGTTTAAAGAGAATAATAACCGGGTTGTCTTCCATGATTAGATCCCTGAAATTATAAAGTCCACCAGCCGAACCATGCGGTTTATCCTCTCTCAAGTACCTACACATAGAAAAATCACAGAGGAACAAATTAATCTTTACAAAATGAAGAAAAAAAAAAAAATGTAAACCATTGTTGTTACCTCACAGGAACTTTTAGCTCATTTGATATCGAAGATACAAACAATGCGAATTCACGCTCCTCATAGAAACCAATAAGGTAAATCTGTACTAGATTTGGAATCTATCACAAGAGAAGGTCAAGTAAATAAATCAATTCAGCACTCATCATCACATTAATGTAGAATTAATCAAGGCGATATTACTCGTTTTCCATCCCGCATGCAGAAACTCTAGCATGTCACAAGAAAATATCAATCTTTATGCAAAATAAATCTCGATTCAATACGATAACTAATTTATTTATCAAACGACATTAAGATCTATAAGCTTTACCCGTTTACAGGCAGATATGGGATGATTAACCATAGCCTGTCCAGCCAAAGGGAAAAGCGGCTTCGGGATATTAAGCGATAACGGTCGGAATCTGGTCCCTGCATTGAGAAAATCATAGAAAAAAGACTCCACATTATTCACAAAACTGTTAAAAATCTTTCAACAAGACACCAACTAGTTGCAAGAATTGCATTCATGTATTCAAATTGTTTCCCAATATATATCAATCAAAACAGAAAACACCGCCAAAACCAGATGTCAGTAATTAATTCACTAGTACTAGCAATAGCATCATCAAGCTCAAAAAAAGGAAAATAAATTAAAAAAAAAATAAAAAATTAAACAACAAAAATAAAGCACTTACCTTTAGTGGGCCCACCCACCATGATCACAGCCACAACTCTCTCATCTGAGCTCCCCATTGTTCACCGACACAAAACCCAGATCTCAAATTCCACTCACCAAACTTTATTTCAGGCAAAATCTTCAGGGCCCGCAGCCTCAATCAGGATAAGGAACGCAATATTTCGTGGAAAATCACGAGGCCCTTCTCAGGATTTACCCAAAAGAACAAGAAATCTTTTGTTGTAAAGAACCAAACACTGTAAGAAGTTTTAAGGAATGGAGAAAATTTCTGGTAATGAAATGGGAAAGGATCAAGAATCAACTGGGCATCGGTTTTTCTTATGGGAGTGTTGTTGATTTGAGGTATGGAGAAATGGGGCACTTTAATTGCAAGTGGGGTTGCCATAAAATGCATATTGCCAGCTTGTTTACGAGCAATAAGGTACAGAGATTTGGATGGAGTGAATGAATGCTTGGAAGATAAGGTACATTTTTTTGGTTGTTTGCAAAACTGCAGTTAATCCTTTTTTTTTTTATATATATATATATATATATATATTGTTTCATAAAAAATAATATTGTTTCATAAAAATAATAATAATAATAATATTTTACTGTAAAAGTATAAATTTTTATTTTTTTTAAATATGTTTAACTTGAAAATTATTCAATTTTATTGTAGGTAAAAAAAACTGTATGTTCAAGCGCAATGAGCTATCGCAAGTCGAGCGAGCTCACGAGCAGTTCGGTTAACAACTTTATATGCAATTGAGGACTCATTAAAATATCTTCATGTCTATGTTGCCCATTATTAAGGAAGTGGCTTACTGAGGTTTGATTGATATGTTACAACGTTTGAAATGCCACCCTCAACTTGTTGTGGTGTGACATGATTGATCATAAAAATAAATATTAATTTGTGTCAATTTTATAAAAAAAAAAAATGATAGTTAGGTAACTAAGCTCAGAGTTGGAGCAAATCACTTCATCAGTTTTTTTTAAATAAAATTGCATTTTTATCCTATAAAATATCATAATTTTATTCAAATTATTTTTTAAAGATGACATCCTATCCATGAAATTATTTATTAACCTTAAATTTAAGCAAAGCTCCCAAAAGTAGAATCAAATCCCCTAAATTTAATTAAAGAGGATAATTCAACACACTTATTCCAAAATGTTCTTATTCCAAATGATCTTTCGACATAGTTCTCACCAGAAACAAAACACAGATAGCAAGAGACTTTTCACCTTATAAGAATGAGTACACAAAAACTCATCCTCTGTAAAAAGTCCTCATTTTTTATTTATTTTTCATTTTCCTCCTTTTCAACTTAAGAACATCGAAAGCCATGATCCACACAGTACAAACGCGAGTACCCGAAAAAAAAAAAAAATTATCTTCACAGCTTCGAAGGAGACTTGTACCAACCCCAGGCATCGTCAGAGACATATTGTGTTACTTGTTTTATGTTCAAGTAGTTGTCAAGTCCCCTGTTGTACATATATAGAGAGAGAGCATGAGCAAGATTGCGCTAAAATACAATATACTTTTCATTTTTCTCGTTAAACACTAACATTTTAAAATCTTTAAGTTTGTCGTATGATATAATTAAGAGGCTAAATTGCATTTTTAATCCGTTGGTTTGACGTCCTAACATTTTTAGTCCCAATGTTCTAACATCCCTCCTTTTGATCATGCGATTTAATATTTTACTATTTTACTGCAATTTCAGTCCTCCATTTATAGATTTTATATTAGCAACTTAAGTCATATAATTTAAAATATTGTTGCAATTTCAGTACTCAAAGGACTGAAATTGCGACAAATATTATATCATAGGGAACAAAAGGCAAAAAGTTGAAACCTTGAGACTAAAATTGCTATGGCGTTACAGGACTAAAAATGCATTTTTTGCCAAGTTAAGAAGTAAGATACATTGAAGAATGATAATAATATTACTTACCATTCGCCAAGTTCACGACCAAAACCACTACGCTTTCGACCACCCCACGGAGCTTGCGAGAAGCATGGCTGTGAGCAGTTGACCCAGACAATGCCAGCTTGAAATGCCTGCAAAGAATCGAACCAAATGATTTTCAATAATGTCAAAGGTTAAATAGAAAATAGATTCATATATCTTTAGAAATTAGCACTACAATTAGATTACAAATTTATAAGAAAAAATGGAATTGTACATAAATAGGCAAAACTTCAGAACAGTTTTTTCACAAAAGCAGAGTGAAATAAACATAGAATCTCACCTTAGTCATCCGTTCGCACCTTTCCAAATCTTGGGATAATACAGCAGAACCCAAACCGTAACTGAAAAAAGATAATCCCCCCAAATAAATATATATATAAAATATGGCTGCGAAAAATCAGGTATTCAACTCACTGGGTGTCATTTGCCAGTTCAATAGCTTCCTCTTCAGTTGCAAATGTCTTAACACATAAAACAGGTCCGAATACTTCTTCTCGCCAGATTTGCATGGAGGTCTTCACGTCTGTTATTATTGTCGGTTGAATAAAGAACCCTTTCTTTAGATGCTGCAAAAGTTCACTCCAGTTTTAGTAATCAAAATAGTGATTAACAAACGGATACAGGAAAAAAAAATCCGTTTTTATTCTTTTATTTTTTTACCTGAGGTCTTGCACCGCCGTGCAAGATTGTGGCACCTTCCTTCTTAGCTGTTGAGATGAATCCCATCACTTTCTCATACTGTGAAATTACAATGAGTTATATACTGTAATTCGATACTTTTTTTTTCTTTCTAATATCAAATCATCTATATATAATATTCAGCTATGCAAACCAGCAAAAACAGTTTATATCCCTTTACATTAAGTCAAAAGCAAATTTTGTATTTTCACGATAAAACGGATAATGGCTTTTGGGGCTTCTTCTGATTTATAGAACTTACATATAGTCAATTTTACCAAACACTTTTGGTAATTTTTGTGAATAAAATAATATTCACATTTGACAATCTTTTTCAACTTGGAAAAAAAAAACAATATTGCCCTTATATTTGACCAAAAAATTTATAGAAAACTTCATTACAGTTCACTTTACCTGTCCACTACTAACAACTGGGCCGAGCCTGCAGCCTTCCTCGAGTGGATCTGATATTTTAATATTTTCACACCATTTCACAAGCTTCTCCAAGAATGAGGGAGCAATGCTTTCCTGAAATAATTTCACACAAAAATTCAGCTTAAAAAATAGAAAAGGGAAAAAGGTGTTCTGTAACAAAATTAAAAGAATTGGTATCTTATTAGCCTAATAGCGTTCATTGCAAGCCGATATTATAAAAAAATTGCCTGCAAACGTTTAAAAATTATTAAATAATAAACCTTTGTCGTCCTCAATACTTACGTGCACCAAGAGTCGAGAAGTTGCACTGCATATCTGACCATTTGTCCAAAAGCAACCAAATAGAGTCCACTCGGCCGCTGATAGAAAAACAGAACATGAAAAGTGAATAGTAAGAAAATTTTTAGCTTTCAAAAAATGCCAATTACCTCAAGGGTGTGTTTTATTATTATTTCTTTTAATATTAACAAACGTTCAAATCGGATCAAAATAATATTAGAAATATTTTAATGAAATATATCGAATTCAAGAAGTAACGTCTAATGACTAGTTTAAGAAAGTTTCAACCTTTATCAAGATCAACATCCTCAAACACAACAATAGGACTTTTTCCACCGAGCTCGAGTGTAACGGGCTGCAATCAGAATCGGTTAATGCAGTAAAAATCGAGTCAAGCATGAAAAATTATAAGCATTGAACAGAAGATTAATAACTACTACTTAAAAAACATACTTTCACAATCTGAGCTGCAGCAGTCATAATCTTGCTTCCTGTAGCACTACTCCCAGTGAATGCTATCTGTTTACATGTACGGCATAATTTTTAACAATATCATTCATATCTAAATGACTAACTCTAAGTAAAATAAATCAAAAAAAAAATGTAATAATAAAAATTATAGTATTTCATAAAACTTTACCTTGTCGACATGAGGATGAGAAGCCAAAGGAGCACCAGCTTCTGGACCGAAACCCGTTAAAATGTTAAGAACACCATTAGGAAGACCGATCTCTATACACACATCGGCCAACTCCAAACAAGTGCTGCAGTTGGAATACAAAAGGGGTATTTTAGGGATTACAAATTTACAATTGAACAACTAACTGAGTTTGGCAAAAAGGTAATACACATTGTCACTCTTAATTTGGTGCAATGCACTAGATTCTTTTATGGATCTACCTATGGAAAGCTTTAAAGAGACTATCAAGTAATTTAATATGCAAGTTAGGTGCAAAATGCTTGAGGGCTTAGTCTAGTCCTTAATAATGAAAACCAAAAGGCAACAACAAACAACAACAATATATATTCCCAACTGTTGGGGTCTGGGGGGTCAGTTGTACACAGACCTTACCCTTGTAATTATACAAGGAAGCTGTTTCCGTAGCGACCCAATGTGCATTGCGTCGTTTGATATATATTTTTTCTTTAAACTTCACTAATAGAAGAAACACTAGAATTTAATTGAGCCATTTTGATCTAGTCCATTATTAACACTATGCCAGGAGAATTGTCAACAATGACTCTTCTAGAAAACCAAAAGGCAAAAAGAAAAAAATATCATAAATACAAACACCCCTATTTATATATAGTTTCAAATTATGTCCTCTATAAGAGGCCTAGGTTAGCTAAATATAATGCTCAAAAAAA